TTGGCTTCCAAGTTTACGCGAACTGCGTCTTTCAATCTTGTACACGCAAACAATGGATAAGTATTTCTTTCTACGTAAAAACTCAGTTTTCATGTCAAAAAATAATTTGATTCTTAATTTAATATCATTAATTGCAGAAAATTAGCTCTTTAATTTGGCATAACTTACACTTTTCTAACTGTAATGCATTTCAGTTATGAGCTTTAATTAGTAGAATTTCTTCGTTTCGCTTGTGATTTGTAAAGGGGGATGAAATGCCTCTTTCCGGTTGAAAAGTCACTTTTGCGAGTTTCCGGTTATTGTTGGACTTGCAGGGTTGTTGAAATTCCTAATCTCCCCGGTCGCAGGTGGTGTTTATTGCGAGGGTTGGCGACATAGATTTCCGTTGAGGTTTCAAAATAGTGGTTTTGGGAGTTTGAACATGAGGGTATGCTGTGGGTTGCAACTATTTCAACTTCGGCGAAAAAGGTGCGCAACTTGCAGTCTGGCGCTTCCCTTTTTAACGGGTTGTTTTGGGGACGAGCCACACTTTACACTTTTTATACTTGCCGGAGGCGAACAGCTGACTAGACGAAAAAAAATGGAGCTTCCCCCGATAGGACCTACGGCCTCTGGCTAAGCTGTGAGCGCGGGCCGTAGGTATGGGCATCTATGTCTTAAAAAAAAAAAAAAAAAAAAAAAAAAAAAAAAAAAAAAAAAAAAAAAAGGAAACTCTTTCATCAGTTTTTGTTGCGTGTGTTGTGTATCTCAAGAAAAATATACAGAAGTAAATTTCTAGAAAAAGATGCGCGCCATTGATCGTCGCTTCACTCGGAACCAGAGCGTTAATTACAACCGTGCTTTTGGAACCTCATTTGCTCATCAAAATCTACAGAACTTCAAGGCTACCGTAATGAATATTACAACCGTTGCTTTTGGAACCTCATTGTTCTCATAAAATCTACTAGAATTCTAGGCTACCGTAATGAACCTGACTGTTCGACGACATTTTTTTTCATTCAACAGGCTGCCAGCATTCCTCATGAGCTTCGATGGATTTTTTTTTTTTTGATGCTCCTATGCTCTTGGAACAGAAAGTTCTTTTTTTTTTATGGTTAATTCTGGTTAGTTAAATATTATAGATTTTGCAGTTAAAATGATTGAATTAACTTAATTTGTTAATTGTTGAACCCTAAATTTTTTTTGTAGTTGATAACTTTATCCTAACTCTATAGAACTCTTTTTCTTTGGGTGTACAATCAAGTAAAAGATTAAATGGATAAAGATTTAAACCTTATTAAAATTATTGTAACTTACTTAATGGTTAAGAAAATTAAGTTCTTCAGGAAATTATTTACTTGAATGTTTTTTTTTGAATTACTCTTTGGAGGATGATGAAAAGTGCTTGTATTAGAGCATTCTTGTTTCAGGACGAACTTGTTGTAGAATGTAAAGGTGTATACTTATCTTATCCGGTTAAAACCATATTAATTAATCTAAGAAAAAAAAAATTAAATAATAAAAATTGTTATGCAATAATAGTATTTAAAATGATTATATGAGTGCAATATAAGCAATATTTTTGTTGTATTTGATGAATTCTGGTGTGAAGTAGAAAGTGTAGCTGTTAAATTTTTTTATTATTTTCTCCCCGGGGAGGGTAGTGTTCTTAAAATTTATAGTTATTTTGGTATGTTTTACTAGACTTGCAATATTAAATATTAAATTTATAGTAATTACAAGGATGTTAAAAAATAATTACTTGGATGTTTGATGTGTAAAACAAAAGTTCAATTTGTTGAATATTATTGTGAATTTTTTTCAACTAAGGATATATTTATATATATTTTATATCCATTAGTGTAAAAAAAAGTGTTAAAAGTGCGCTCGTCCCACAAAAACAACCGTTGTAAAGGGAAAAGCGCGGGACTGCCAAGTTGGCGCAACCCATTTCGCCGAAAGTTGAAATGTTGCAACCACAGCATCCTTCATGTTATAAACGCCAAAAACCACTATTTTGAAACCCAAGGAAATCTATGTCGCCAAACCCTCGCCAAATAAACACCAACCGCGACGGGGGAGTAGGAATTCAACAAACCGTGCAAGGGCCCCAACGAAAGAACGCTGAAAACTCGCAAAAAGTGACTTTCAAACCGGAAAAGAAGGCTTCATCCCCTTTAACTAAATCACAAGCGAAACGAAGAAAAAATTCTAATTAAACTCAACTGAAATCAATTACAGTTAGAAAAATGTAAGTTATGCCAAATTAAAGAGCTAATTTTCTGCAACGAATGAATTAAATACTAAGAAATCAAATTAATTTTTGACATGAAAACTGAGTTATTACGTAGAAAGAAATACTTATCATGTTTGCATGTACAGATTGAAGACGCAGTTCGCGTAAACTCGGAAAGCCAAAAATATTACACTAGAATAATAGGCCCAAAAAGAATATAACCAAACTTTGTAGCCAAATTTTGGATATACAAATTAAAAATTTTGATTTTTATGAACACTTAATTAAATTAAATTCGTACCAACAATAACCATAAAATCAAAGCCATGAAAAAATCGATATATGGTAGTTCTAACGGTTGTGCGATGGCACAAAACTCCCATCGTTTCATATTCAAAGAAAAACTAAAAAAAAAAAAAAAAAAAACTTCCAACGGGGTGTAATGTTCTGTTCTCCGAAAGGCTAGTGGACGAACTGGAATGAAAACTATGGTTACAGAACGATGGGCGGGGTGACCTGTTGGACTCTTAAGAAAACCCTCTTTTTTGGTTTTGGATCAGTTTAGTGCCCATAGAACTGAAACCATAATGAATAAAGCGAGAGAATTAAAAACCCAGATAGATGTCATTCCTGGTGGACTGATTAGCGAATTGCAGTCTTTTGATGTATCAGTGAATTAGCCATTTAAGGAAAAAGTGCGAGAACGATGGAACAAGTGGATAGGAGAGCCACATCACGCCCTCAGGTAGAATAAAGTGGTCCTCTATTTCACACGTGTGCGAGTGGGTAAAAAGATCTTGGCAGGACATAAAGGCTGAAGTAATTGTTAAGTCCTTTAAGAAGTGCAGAATCAGTAATGCTCTTGACGGAACAGAAGACGACGCATTATTCGAAGAAGGTGATGCTAGCGATGACAGAAACAGTAGTGATGACGATATTCTCGTCATCACTACTGTTATAATTAATATGTTTAGTATTGCATTCAATTATTGTTTACTTGGCTTTTACGAAACGTGAGAACTAAAGGAAACCACATTTTAAGTTATTGTGGTACCGCGCCTTCACACAGACTATTGAAACTTTTTTTTCCTTGTGTGTGGCCTTCTAAATAAGGATGCGTCTTGTATGCCAGTGCGTCTTATATGCCGTCAAATACGGTAGTCACCTCTGGCACATATTTTCCATCCACAATTTTACACTATTCTCATCCATCTACCACTTTTAAAGAAAATGTACAAAATTGTTTGATGGGAATTTTACTTTAGGAGTAGTTTTTCTGAATGAAAATGACATTCCATTTTAACTTTGTTCCATGCACGTTAATACTACTGTAAATGTGGTCTTTTCAAGGCCTGTACATAACTGGAACACTTCTGCCTTTTGATTCACAGTTCAATTGTCTATTAAGTTAATCTTTATTGGTGTTTCATCCTTATTTCTAACATCAGATAATGGAAAGTTGTATTTTTGCCTCATACCAATAACAACTTTGTGGAAACTCATGACTTTATGATTAAGATCTTCTGGCAATTTCTGTACAATTTTTAGTTTCTATCATATTACCAGATTCTTCTGTTCATGAAATGATTGCACCAACCTACTATTGCTTTAAATTCTTTTCCTTTTTTTGGATTGGCCCATTTTCACTTCAATGCATACGCACCTAATCATATTTCTTATAACAACATAACAATTCTGCTTCTGGTTTTATACCTATTCTGCAACATTATTTCCTAAATCCGGCAAGCAAGCTATTCTTTTTCTCATATTAAATTTCTTCACTGACATTTTTTTAAATAACATTTTCATTCTTTCTCCAATCTGTTACCGTCTTCTGTTTAACAGTTTTTAACTTGAAGCTTGCTTCATGTTTCCTTCTTTTTTTTTTGGTTCAATGATTAGACCCACACTTTACAAATTTTACACTGATTACATTTACAGCACAAAATATTTGATATATATATATTGTATTATATGATTATGTAATATAACCTACAATGAAATTTGTTAGAGGTACATATGAGTTTGTGATTTGCACATGCTTTTATAGACAGTGCTGCCAGATGCAAGAAAATAAAATTTGTTCCACATGATGATCACTGATCTAATTTAAATTCATAGGCCATTCATAGTTTGAGAGTTGTCTGATAGGACAGATATATGCTAAAACTATAAAACTTTGAAAACTTATACCTTATCTTATTTGCAGAAATATACGGTAACTTTATGTGAGAGAAAATGAAGAAATATAAATAACAGTAAAAAGAAAAGATAGGGGACTACTACAATTCCATTACATTTTCTCAACAAATTTGTGTTTCTTCCATTTCTATCTTGTCATAGCAATTTTAATTACTTTAAGAGTAAATATCATAAATGTTACATGAATAATTAATTATAATTTAAATCTTTGTGGCTTAGGTGTCTTTTTATTCAAGAGAGAGAGAGAGAGATAAAAGACTGAGCTTACCGAGGTCTGTACTGGGTAACAGTAATCCTAGGACCATCCAAATTTAGCTTGTGAAATATTCTCCCAATACTAAGTAAATATTCTTCCTAAAGTAATATATTTTTAGAACTCAATCTGGAATTTTCAAACATTTTTTCAAACTTAATTTTCTTTATATAATATAAAAAATTTCTTATTATATAATAATTATATATTCAATATTCAGAATTCAAATATAATGAAACAATCTAAAATACTGAAATCCTAAACAGCAAAAAAACATGGCACACATCAGACAAGAATATCCATTATACTCACATAAAAACATTCAAATACATTGATATTGGTTAGATCCTGATATATTATCACATAAAACTAATAAAAATACCTACCAAATCTATTAGACTAACATACTTGACTGGATGTGGTCAAATACCCAGTGATATATATATATATATATATATATGATGTTTAAAAATGAAAGATGAAGTGAAACTTAAATACACTTAGAATACAACTGTACAGACTGAAAAAAAAAAATTTTTTTTTAAACCTAATAATTACAGCTAAAAATTTTCACACACAGAAAATTCTCTTTCGCTAAAATAACATAGGTCTTCAAGAAAGTGATTATTTTTAGATACACAAATGGCAAATCTTAGGTGCTAGAGCAAGAAAGGTAAAATTGTAAAATTATGTTTAAAAAAATCACAAGTAGGGACGTAAGTACAAACATGGACAACAAAAACACTTCAAAATGAAGTAAAGAGTGTGGAATTTTTAAATTATAAAAGAATAAGAAATTCATTAAAACCTTTTTTTCTCAACAGTTGAATTTTCCTCATTCAAAGAGTTATCTTTTAAAGCAATATTTAGCCTTTAAAAATGCAATCAAATATTTAATTTTGCAATTGGAAGAATTTATTTCATTGGGTGGACTATAAAGGAATAACTATAAAAAGTTGCTTGATCAAATCTTAAAACATGGCGAAGCCCACCAGAGCCCTTAAATAAAAGGTCTCTGGCTCTTCTTTTATGTAACTTTAGCATAATTTCAGCATAAAATTTTGGATCTTGAAAATTTTACTTAAATAATAAGTCTACCTTAAAAGCCGATTTTAACTGAACATATGCCTGTCTTTCTCTGGAAAAAATAGCATTTTGATGGTCACAGAAAAAGTCAAGATTCCTAAGAGAAAAATTGTAAATCCCTCAGAATATTGACCAGAACATAAAAAGAGCAAAATCATATTCTGTAGCTTAGCAGACGTTAACTCTTATTCTTCAGATAAAGCATTGCCTGAAATCGATTTTTATTTCAATTCAAATTATTGTTTCAAATTAAAAATATTTATATTGAGATAATAATTGCATATGCTGTTATGAATATATTTGCTCTTCTGTGAAATATTATTAAACAGCTAAGTTTAATTTAAGTCTATTTGTACCCTATAGTGTCATACATTTTTGTGGCTAATTTTTGGTTACATTAAACCCTATGATTGAGTCTCCCCATATGATTTAGGTCAACAAAAATAATATTAGACCTTTGCCGGACAAGATGGGTCACGTGGCATAAGGCCTACCAGCATTTTTATCAAAGCTTTTTCGATATCACTGAAACCCTAGAGTACACTGTGTACTCAACCAAACCAGATACTTATGTACGTAATCAATGGTCTGTGCAATGTAAGTGTTGCCGAATTCAATCATTTCATCTGCTTTCATTGTAACATTCATAACAGCAGATCATTATCTATCTCATTCAGAAGGAATTACAGTTAAACTTTTGGGATGAGTTATTGATCGTGAAAGCCTATAACATGATTCAGGAAATAATTTTTATATTTCTAAGCATGAAAATGTAGAAAAGAGTTTTGAGAGTATATATGATCATGCTTGGCAAGTGTGTAAAAATTTAGAACTCAAAGTGCCATTCATCATTCCAAAGCAAGTCTATCGAAATAATGCTTATTGTGATTCTGTGTTTAATTATAACAAAACTATTTTAGCAACCCATTTACTTGACCATCTCATTTTTCATTTAAAATCTCAATTTTGAAATTTAGAAAAGACTGCATCCCTGTTTTGCATACTACCATCAGTTTGCTCTGATCGTGTAAATGAAATTGCAGTAAATGAGTTGAACATGACATATAAAGATGATTTATCCTCTCCGGAACTTCTAAACGAAAAGATGAAACTTTGACAATGGCATTTTTATGTCTATTCCCAAAGCAAAGCTCCCAGACACCCTAGTTTTGGCTTTAAAAGTTTCGAATAAAATGTTTTTCCCAAATATTAATGTGCTTTTGCCCATAGCAGCTATATCGCTGACAGCATCTTGCGAATGTGACCATTCCGCAAGTCCTTTGAGAAGGTTAGAAAACTATAATAAAGATACTACGATGGAAGCGCACAAAAGTTCTTTGGCATTAATGCATATTGATTATACAAAATAAATATCAGTTGACAAAGTTATTAATATATTTGCCAGTTTACAGCCACGAAAACTGGAATTCGGGAATGATTTAATTGATGAACCAAAATGAAAGGCCAGAAAAATGTTTGTCTCTTTTTCATTATTTTTATTTGCAATTTAATTTTATGTGCAAAATAAACGATGCATTTACAACTTTTATGTATTTAATTCAATATCTTTATTATATAATTATACAGCACATAAATATGGATTTTATGTATTTATTTATCTTTATAGTTGTATTATGAAACCAAAGTAAGATGAATTTCAAAATTCTTTTCATATTTCTTTGTGCATATGTGAGTGCATATGTCAGAAAATTTTATTTTTGTTATTTATTATTTCCTTTATTATGCTTTAACTTTTTTGCAATGGCACACCATTGTTTAAGACGCTCGTGTGGGATGGAAGGGAATCGAAGGCAGTTACCATACAGGATGGAGGTTTTGCATCGCTAAGCCCAATTTGATACCCTACTTCTAGCATCGCAGTTTTTGGTATCATTTTAGATTATTACTTGAGCTCTTATATATGTTAAAATTAGCACTTAATAATGCTCTTTTCTTTATTTTACATGAAAATATATTTAAAAAATTGCTTATCTTGTAAAATAATTTTCAGAAGCGCTATTCAAATTATTCCAAAGTTTTAATTGATAAAATCCATCAATAAAGTTTAAAATTAAAAAACAACACAATAAAGACTATTTACAGTAAGAAGTAACAAAATTTAAAATGAAGACTGTGGTAAATCTCGCAGCATGGAGAAGTACCACTTTCTATTTAGCTCTTAGAAAAAGTATCACTTTCTAACTTTTAAGAAAATGAATCATCACTCTCATCTGCATTAGTAAATGGTTCATTAACAATATGAGGTATTCCTCCTCTGATAAATAGTGCCTTCCCACCATAATAGACTAGAGGCGAAGCTTTCTAAAATAAGAGAAGAAACGGAAATAAATCTGAAAGCAATGCAAAGCGTAACAGAACTCCACATTGTAACCCTAAAAGACCGTACATAGTAGAGGAAAAAAATAGAATAAAAAAAGGAATTTGATATAAATCAGACACATGAATGTTTATATTAGCACGCGGCGATTTAAAGAGCCTACCTCTGTTTACACTTTCCCTCCCCCCCTTCTCAACAGTTGATGAGTAAAATACCAAAGTCAGGCAGAATTATTTTGTATAATATGTAAATATATAAATACCTAAATTAAGATTAAAAAGTAAATTTAAAAAAGCTAAGGAAGACATTTTAATAATCATGAATTGAAATTCATATAAAAAATAACTCACTAATAATTGTAGATATCAGTATAAGCTACTGATGTAAAAACAAAGGCAGAAGTTATAAGATTGCAGTGATAAGAATGAAATGGCAGACAAAGATACAGAAAAATTCATCTCACCCTGCAGCAAAAGTGCCCCAGCGGCTTAGTGGGAATTTCAGTGAACACTGATAGTTTGACCTGTGTTCAATTTCAGGTGAAGAGGCTGGCTGCATAGGCATTCCCATTTTTTTCTACATATATAATGTGGTTATGAGCCAGTTTCCCTCAGAAGGTTTTCCACAAAGACATCTTTCTTGTTATTAGTTATGTATATGTATCAGTTATGTTTTATTTCTGTCATTATCCTTTAATTTTGATGACCAGTGTAATAGCAATATAAAAATATGAGTTGAACACAAGACATAAAAAAACTAATTAGGAGTATCTTTAAATATATCAATATTTTTCTAAAGTTTTTCATTGCAATGCTTAGGCTTTAAAAGCATGGTGCTTATAGCTGTAAGAAAACTTGAAAAGAATTTTCTCATTAAATAATTGTTATTTATTAAGCTTTACAAGGCTTGCTATTTATATTTCTGGCCTAATAATGAAAAAACAAATATTTATGATCAAAATTGGTTTTATTGTTTTTCAAAATGTTCTTCATGAAGGTCAATACACTTTTTCATGCATTTGAAACAATTCTCAGAGCACTTTTTTCACAATTGAGGTAACTCCAAAACATGCGTTTTGGATCTATTGTTCGCTTCTTCAGGTGTCGCAAATTGCCGATCACATAATTTATTTTTGACGTGCGGGAATATAAAAAAGTCAATGAGTACCAAATCAGGGCTGTACGGTGAGATAACTCATCAATTCAATGTTCTGGCCCAACAAAAATTCCTTTGTTTGAGCCGATGTGTAAGAACTCGCATTGTCATGATGAAGAATGATTTGCTGCATTGCCTTCATTGGTAAATCATTCTTCATCATGAGAATGCGAGCCACCATGATGCACTGCTTTCATGGCAAATCATTCTTCATCATAACAATGCAATCATTCTTCATTCGCCTTTAATTGGGGATGAGTTTTCGCCAATGAAATTTGAAAAAAAGCAGAAGAATCTGCGTTTTTCAATTTCTCCAATGACTTCTGGCAAACAAATGGTCGTTTCATTTGTTTGCCATTCAGAAATGACTATCGTGCATTGCTCTAATGCCACTGTCCCCACATGACCAGTAACGTCGAAGACAATTTCTTTCGATGAGCTTCTTCCTCTGCAAATGAGTTTTGTTGGATTTGTCTTGCCTTGGAAGAGCCATACAAGCGACTGCTGTTTTGTTTCAGGCTCGTATGCATAGATGCATAATTCATCACACATATACGAGGGCTATCCAGAAAGTAGATTACGTTTTGGAATAAAAAAATAAACAAAGTATAGGAAACAAATTTTATTATATACAGATGAAAGCCACACTCAAATACTACTTTTCTACATAGTCACCATACAAATTAAGGCATTTATCGTAGCGATGTACGAGCTTGGAAATTCCTTCGTCGAAAAATTCGGCCGCCTGCGCCTTCAACCACTTCGTTACCTCTTCTTCAGCTGTGCGTCGTCATCAAACGCTGCATAGCCAGCCACTTCTCATTGCTGGAATAGGTGGAAGTCGCTCGGTGCCAGGTCGGGACTGTACGGCGGATGAGGAAACAACTCCACTTAAAAGATTCAAGAACTTTACGAGTGACATTTGCCGTGTGGGGCGGGCGTTGTCGTGAATCAACAAGATCTTAGAGCTCAACATTCCTCTGCGCTTGTTTTGAATTGCTCTTCTGAGTTTTTGGAGAGTTTGGCAATACCTTTGAGAGTTATTGTAGTGCCTCTTTCAGGAAGTCCACCAAAATTACACCTTTTCTGTCCCAAAAAACAGTCGCCATCATCTTCCTTGCCGACATGTTTGCATGCATTTCTTGGGTTTTTGGGGAGAACTTGTGTGCCCCCACTGCATTGATTGCAATTTCGTTTCACAGTTCACATGTTTCACCCATGTTTCGTCACCAGTAACGATGCGATCGAGTAAAGAGTCACCATCCTTATGGTAAGCGTCCAAAAAGTTCAACGCTGCAGCCATTCTTTTTTTGTGGTCTCTGTCAAGATTTTGGAATCCATCTTGCACAAAAACTTGTGGTAACCAAGCTTTTCGCTGATGATTCGTGAACAAACTTCGCGAAAATTTGTGGAAAACTCAAAGAAAGTTCTGTTATTGTGAAATTTCGATTTTTCACGGACTTTAGCATCGACTTTTTGAGAAGTTCGGTGGTCACTATGCTGGGGTCTCCCACTTCGATCTTCGTCGTGAACATTGGTTGGCCATTTTGAAATCTTATGACCCACTGACGCACTCCACCTTCAGTGAATGTGTCCCCATACACTTCACGAAGCTGCCGATAGATTTCTATCGGTTTACAGTTTTTTGCAGTCAAAAACCTTATTACTGAGCGCACCTCGCGGGATTTTCATTAACGCAGACATTTCAAACCGTCACAGTATCTGAACGGAGCACAGCACGAACCTCTCACTAGCACGGCTAGATGCAGACTGAGCTGCGCAAAGCTCTGACCCCAAGATGGCCGCGCTAGCCCCGCCCCTAGCGGACACAGACGGAAACGTAATCTACTTCCTGGATGGCCCTCGTAGATGTTACACACAGCCTTTGATGCATCTTGAACATATTCTCCAACATTTCCTTGCTGCAATCGACACAAGCTTTCTTTTGAGCATTTGTCAGGCTATGCGGGATCCAACATGAACAAGCCTTTTTTATGGCCAAATGTTTATGTGATATCTTATTGATGCTTGTCATACTAATGCCCAAAGATACCTCAATCTTCACAGTGTGTCACATGACGATCTTGCTTTATCAGTTCACGCAAAGCATCGATATTTTTCTGGCACTACAACCAATTTTGGAAGACTTTCATGGAATCGTCCTGCCACAAACGTCGACCATGACAGAATTTGTTATACCACTGTTTTACAGTGCTGTAGGAAGGTGCTTTATCCCTGTATAAAGAATTAACTTCATCGAAGCATTCTTGTCTTGATACTCCACCTCAAAAATTATGAAAAATAATCGCATGGAAATGTTCACAAGTCAATTCCATTTTTTGCATGAGATGAATTTTTCAATTTATTGTCAATTTACTTTCAATTTACAATTTTATTTTCAATTTCTGAAGAAGTTATGTTTTAAAATATCAGACTTTTGATAGGAATTGTCTGTGACCACCTAACAACTCTTACTGTTGCCATGGCCAGAAATATAAATAGCAACCTTCGTAATAAAACATCCAACCTCTCTCTCCAGAAAGCTCAATGAATGTATCTATAGTTACAGTGTCTTACATAAAACAGCTGTTACTGTCCTTTGAAGTAATCCACATTGCTGCTAATGCACATCTGGGAATGGCTGTACAAGTCTTGGAAACTTCCGCATATTTGAATTCGGAGATGGCCTTCAGCTGGTTCGTAACATTACATTGGATGTCCAAAAACCTGTCCCTTCAGGACTGATTTCAATTTGGGAAACAAGAAAAAGTCCAGGAGAGGCAAATCTGGGATGTATAGTGCGTGATTCAGGCAAAACGTTTACCTGTTCGCCAGGAGCTTCTGCACCAGAAAGACAGTGTGTGGTTTGACATTGTTGTGTAGCAGGGTCCAGTTAGCATGCTTGGCATACTGGTGACATACCAGCTTGATTCGTTAATCAGCAGACGTTTCAGTATTTCCACATACGTAGCTGCATTTAACATGGTGCCCTCAGGGAGGAATTCTTTATGGGTGTGCCCCTCTTCTTTATGGATGAGTCAAAGAACACCATGAGCATTGGCTTGATGTGGGATTTCTCACATCTTCTTGCTTTTCGGCAACCCTGGACTCAGCCACTCCTTATTTTAATACTTGCCTTCAAGGTCATACTCCATCAGGTCTCATTACCTGCGCCGATGGCTTTTAGGAAATTTGCGTTTCAATTCGCCACATTGATGAGGTCTTCATATGCATCAAGCCAAAGTTGCATTTGTTCTAGCATCAAAGTGTGGGTCATGAGTCGGAAGCAATGCTTATGTTAACCTAAATTATGGGTCACTATGAGGTCAGCCATCTCCTCACCAATTCCCACTCTTTCCAGTATCATTCACACTTTCACATGACAATCCTGGGTCAAAAGTTTCTTCATTTTCTGTATATTGTCAAGGGTGCTTGCAGTTGCAGGCCGATCACTCTGGAGGGAGTCTTCAGTGGTATCCTACCATTCTCAAAAAGATTTAAACCATTCATACACATACCTTTAAGGTGATAGCACAGTCTTTGTAAACTGTTATCATCATTTCATGAGTCTCTTTTATTTATTTTCCAAGCCTGAATCAGAAAAGTACATTTGTTCCCTGATTCCAATTCAGTTTTAACTAACAGTACCTTCATTCTACAATGAGCTGTTTTCACATGATAAAACACACTTGCAGCACCGCTGCTCAAGAACTGGTTCACAGTCTTGACTATCCGGGCGTGGGTTGCACTGGTAGTACACTCTTACGACTGAGAGCACTATGACATCATTCACTGAACTTTATGGACAGAGGGTGTACATCAGAAAATTATAAATATCTATGAAACAAGGAAAACAAATTACCAATGTCTCAGACTTTTGCTGTCCTTTAAATAATGCAGAGGTATATTGAGGGCTGGAACTGACTTGATTCATAGAATATGGAGTATGTTGTTTTGAAAGCAGTATAATTTGGAAACCCTGAAAATAATTAACTATCAATAATTGAACAAACAAAAGACTATGTAAAATATTATTCTTAATTGTATTTTAAGTACCTGCTGCAGTCTCTGGCAGATAAGTTCTTTATACACTTCTGGTGTTGTTAAAGAGCGACGTGTCTGATCTTCATCATTTTGAAAGTACCTATTAGAAATGTACAAGAACAATCATATTATTGTCTTATAATTATTGGCAATTTTTATTAGATACTTTTTCTAATTTTTAATATAATTTTTAGACAGTCTACACACTTATACTAACAATCATGGTTTTAGTTACAGCGCTAGAGTGTACTGCACTCCAGGAGCTGGAACATGTCATGCTGATTCCGATTAGAAATAAGATAATCACTGGGATAACACAGCTAGCCCTCTATGGGGTGCGCCAGAGGAAAACAGGCATGCTTGCCCTGTCCTTCACTTCATCACTTTTCATAACCGTGCAGTCGTCAACCCCACCGACAGCCCTCCTACATACTGGACTACCAGGACTCAGGGGTGACCTGATATCACTTTAGCCACCAGTGGTATACATAATAATATTCACAAGTGGAAGGTTAGTGAAACCCCATCGTTCAGTGACCATTGCTACACTGAGTTCAGAATTGATTCAGAGCACCAATTTATAACAAAGAACAGATAGAAAACGAAGTACATAAACCTCAACAAATTTAAAGATGCACTCTCAACCCATATTGAAAGTCTCGTTGCACAATGCAACAGTTGCAACAGTGGTAAAGACATCGATGCTATGCATGAAGATCTTATACAAAAACTGCTCTCAGTGTGGGAAAATGTCTCGAAAAGGAAAAATTACGCAGCCATGAAATGCACCCCTTGGTGGAGCACCACGCTGACTACTGAATGCAGCAAAGTCCGTGCCCTAAGGCGCAGAATGCAAGCATGCAAGGATCCCTTAGAAAGAGAAACAACTCTCTAAGTTTTCAAAAGCACATAGCTGCTTACAAAAGACAGCTTGCAAAAGCGAAGTTTTCATCCTGGAAAGAGTACTGTACAAACACTGCAAATAAGTTCGAAACAATCTTCTGTATCGCACATGGTAAGATGTTTACACCTACTAATCTTACTGCCACAATAAGCCACAGAGCAAAAACTAGCACAGAAGTAGTCGCACACATTCTGGAGAATATCTTTAGACCTGATAACGCAGACACAGATAACTCCGCACATAAAAATGTCAGAGCCGGTGTTGAGCAATATTACAATACCAAGAAAACAGATTTTGAACCGCTACCAAGCGCCAAAGAAATGAGCGACATTGTTAAAGCATTAATCATCAATAAAGCCCCAGGTCCTGATGGGATAGATAATAGCATTCTGCAAGCCATTAACAGTACACATCCAGTGCTAATGTTTCCCAACTGGCATGAAACTTGGGGGAGGTGGTGCTCTTCCTCAAAGCGAAAAAAGACCCTAATGTACCGATGTCTTACCGGCCTATTTGCCTTCTTCCTGCCTTGGGTAAAGTACTAGAGAGAGTCATCCTTTAAAGACTCAAACACTATATCCTGTCTGGACAAAGCATAAGTGACAAACAATATGGCTTCATTCCTGGCAGATCGGTGGATCACATGCTGCAGCATCTACGAAAAAAATAGCAGATAACAGAAGAAATAACCATCATAGTCTCATTATATCTGTAGACATACAGGGCACCTTCAACTCGTTGTGGAGGCCCAAAGTACTGAAGAGATTACAGGACATGGGTTGCCCTAAGACATAGACTCCAACCTGCAGCAGAACTTGTCAGTAGTCAACGCACGAATGACATTTTCACAACTTTGCGCGCGTAACGCATGTTGTAATTAACTATTCATTAATTTTTAATTAATTGTAATCAATTTTGTTACATTTAAAATCCATATACATATAAAACTGAATAATTAAAAATATGCCTTGTAAATTATATGCACATTTAAATAGAAATTTTCATTTAACTCCTCAAACATGTATATCACTAAATCTACTATTATATGAAAAAAGCAAATATTTTAAATCACTACTAATCAGAGAAAATCAGAATCCATAAATCATATATCTTTACTCTGGATTTGATTTCTGCAGGAAAATAAAATTTAAATAACCAAGAGTAATACACATTAGTATTAAAAAAAATACTTATAATTTACTTAAACTTAGCAAGCTTAAGTTCTGATTTTGAGAATGTTTTTTTATAACACAATTCTTCATTTGCCTGCATACTTATTTTTTCAATCAAAACTGCTTCAAGAGTTTTAGGACCTAAATTTGGTCGAAATTGTGTCTGATTTTTTTTTTTAACAATAGAAAAAATTCTTTCGCAAGCTGCATTCGAATGAGGTATTACTAAGACAGCAAGCATTCCAGTAGGCAATACTTTGTATTTAATACACCCATTCATATTTTTTAATTTGGCAATTTCTCCCCATGCTATATCAATATGCAAATCTGCAATTTCTTTCGAATCATCTACTTGATACATGGAAAAGTCAATTTCCACTTGATTAAGATACTTTTCATCAATAACGGATGGAAAAGTATTCATCAAGTAAAGAACAAATGAAAATGATACTTCAGTCCTCAAGTTGATGTCAGCAACTTCAGCATGTTTTAGAAATGGATCACTTAGTGGAAATTTATCTATTATATATGAACATGTAGATACAAAAAAAACTTGCACAGAATTGAAAAATGATTTTACTTCATTTTCATTCAACTTGGCATTTTTTAAATATAGTCTTGTTTCCGCACCAATCACTAAATTTTCATTTTCTTTTTGTTTACTATACTTTTGAAATGAAAGAGATGTTAGAGTAAAATCTTCATTTCTTTAGAAATTACTGATGGTTTTACGAATCTAACAAATAAATTCATTAAAAGTTCAACAAGTTCTCTTCTCAATTTATATATATAAGGAGCTTGTTGTTGCAAATTAATATTTACTGTTATAAACAAAGGCAAAGTATTTTTCAAAAATGACAAGTACACTTTGGTGGTAGGTGATTGTAAAATTTTTTTTTTTTTTTAATGTTCTGCGATTTCTTTCCTTCATTCTCACTGTTATCTGGTTGATCTCCAAAAATATTTATCACAGCACCCCACTGTTCTAAAATCCTTGTTATAGATTCTAAAAGAGACAATCATCTTGTACTGCAATATTTCAAAATTTTATGAGATTTTCCATTCTGTCCCAAAATTTGTTAAGCAACTTTGAAGCTATGCTTCCGTTTCGAACTTATCTCCAAATAAAAATATACATCTATTAACAACATTTCGATTTTCTGAGCCAATTAATTTTTCAGTAGCCTTTTTTGCAGCTACATGCAAGAGGTGGCATGGACAACCTCGGATGAATACTTGGTTGATTTTTGATAAATGATGCTACACCTTTAACTTTCTAATCATATTACTAGCATTATCTGAAGAAAATGATAAGCAATTTTTCCATTCTAAGCTTTTGCTTTAAAGTTTTCATTTATACAAAAATATGTTTCGTTGTTTAAAAATAGTGGACTGTAAATTGACTTGATATTACTTCAGTATAGAACCCAAAAAACCTCAGACTCATAACGTTGACCGAAACTTCTTTATTGACTTTCAAAATAGTAAGTTAGTTGAGGAACGGCGAAGACCACACAAACTCCGACTTCAGTGGCGGCTTACCAACACAAACTCAGAAGAACCTCTGCTTAGTTGAAACTCCAGTAATTCACAGCAACCTCAAAGCTCTAAACGCGAGCTTTAAAAACCTAACAAATTTGCGTCTGCGCCGCTCCTCGGTACAAAGAAAGAAATACAATTTGCATAACATCGAACATACCCCCAGCCTTGAAGTCCCAAGGGGGTTCAAACAATAAATTTAAACTGTTGAACTGCATAAACCTGAAAAATAAAAATTAAAGTCTCTAAATCAGGAATTAAATGGCAAAGCGCATAGCTTTGCTATAGGTCGTTTTATTTCACCATTAGACGTGCGTAAACTCACCACTCGAACTTTCTCATCCAGACCAGGATACACTTTAATAATTCTACCTAATTTCCAACGTAGCGGAGGTAGATTTTCGTTCTTAATAAGAACCATATCACCAATCTTCAGATCTTGTTGTAACCGTGCACCACTTGGGTCTCTGCTGCAATCTAGATAAATACTCACTGCTCCATCGATTCCAGAAATGTTGAAATAACCTTTGCACGTTCCTCCAACGGTCACTGCAGCTCATGGTTTCTTGAATTTGGTTAGATTCTGGAATAGCGCTTAAAGCCGCTCCGGTTAAAAAGTGTCCTGGTGTTATCGCCTCCAAGTCGCTACAATCACTTGAAGCTGGTACCAAAGGCCTAGAATTAAGACAGGATTCAATTTGGGTTATTAATGTCAAAAATTCCTCGTATGTTAAAATAAGTGTTCCTAAACATCTTTTTAAGTGATGTTTCATAGACTTGATACCCGCTTCCCAAAGCCCTCCAAAATGAGGGGCAGAGGGAGGATTAAATAACCATTTAAATATTTCTGAAGAAATATAACCCTGTAGCTGTTCATCACGTTGAACAATAGAAAAGGCTTTCCTTAATTCTTTATTAGCTCCTATAAAATTCGTTGCACAATCACTGTGAATTTCACACGGTTTGCCTCTACGAGCTATAAACCGCTTAAGTGTCGCGAGGAATGATTTTGTTGAAAGATCTCCAACTAATTCTAAGTGTATTGCTCTTGTAGTAAAACAAATAAATAGACATACGTAACACTTAAAGATTTTGACTCCTCTACCAGGACGATATTTAACGTTAAATGGTCCTGCTAAATCAATCCCTACACGAGAAAAAGCTCTCTACTTTGAGTAACTCTTGAAGCGGGTAAATCTGCCATTAGCTGAGTTGCAGTTTGCGCTCTAACTCTACGGCAGATAACACATTGGTTTATACACTTTCTTATAATATCTCTAGCATTCACAATCCAAAATCTATGTCGTATGACAGAAGTGAGTAGCTGCGTACCTGCGTGAAGATACGTGTCATGATAATGCTTAATAATTAAACGCGTAATATTGTGATTCTTAGGTAAAATCATAGGATGTTTCTGATTATTTGAAACTGTAGAGTTTCTGAGCCTTCCGCCTACACGCATTACTCCCGCGGAATCCAAGAAAG